AAGAAAGAAAGAAAGAAAGAAAGAAAGAAAGAAAGAAAGAAAGAAAGAAAGAAAGAAAGAAAGAAAGAAAGAGAAAAGAAAGAAAAAGAAAATACAAAAGGTGTTGGGGTTCATAATAGCAATCAAGGCAGGAACTCTTCTGTCCCACACCAGCACCTTTTGAGGCCCCTGCTCCAGGGTTTGATTAAAAAACCAGGAGGCTGAGAGGGTAACTGATCAGATTGCCCAGAGCCAGGCTGCCTGCTCATGCCAGATCCTGCTCGGGTGGCCTTGTCTCCCCATGGAAAACCAGAGGGGAGCATTCAGCATGGGGTGGTCACTCCTCTCATCCCCTGAATAGGTGCCACCAGCTGCATGTTCTCCTGAGTGTAGGGCTCTGGCGATGTTCCAGGCTGGGGGCCCAGTACCAAACACTACAGGGCAGGATGACACAGGATTCCAGGACACCTAGAATCTGCCTGGAGGGCTTCTCAAAGGAGGTGGCATTTCCAGCTGCCGTAACAAGATGGTTAGTTTGATAGTAACATTCTTTGGGTATAGAGGAGCTCAAAGGAGAATAAACCAAGGTTAACTTCTGATTGTTTTATTTTTTTTTTAACTTTTCTTTTAGGTTCAGGGGTCCATGTGCAGGTTTGCTAACATAAGGGTTTGTGGTATAGATTATTTCATCACCCAGGTACTAAGCACAGCACCCAATAGTTATTTTCTCTGATCCTCTCCCTCTGACCTCTGATCTTGATGTGGGTGAGGACATGGCGCTAAGTGGGAGAAACGATCAGAAAGAAAGCACCGCACTGTGGTGGCTTCCAGAAGAACAGGAGCAATGCTACACCATGCCTTGATTGTCTTTCCTCACACCAGGACCATCAGTGTACATTTTCCCAGACTGTTCATTTCTGAAAACTACGAACTTAAGCCAGTCCTCAGGAATCTGGGCATCACCAAGATCTTCAGCAATGAAGCTGACCTCTCTGGAGTCAGTCAGGAGGCACCCCTGAAGCTCTCCAAGGTAAGGTCACCCAGAAGACCGTATTGTCCCCTGGTGTCAGCTGGCAGATTGCATGGGGGTGGCAGCTCTGTACTGAGGCTGAGGAAGGAGCCAAGAGACACAAATGAAGACCCAGGCTGAGCTCCTGAAGATGCCTGAGATCCACTGAGCCGGGCATGTTCAGACGGCGGAGCTGGGGAGGCGCCTCCCGTGCAGCTGGCACCTTTGGGGACCCCTGCTGTTGTGTCACTGACACTTTGCCCAGGACCTTCTCGTTTTGGGCCTTAATTTATCCATATTGATGCAGAAAAGCTTAGGCTCAGTCATTTCAAAAGACTTCCTGGCTCCTTTCATCTGTGAGATTTTGAATTTTGGGTGTATTGCCAAGTTCAAATCAATGAGTGATGCAGCTAAAGATGACATTAATTTAGGAAAATTAAAGGTATCCAAAGAACAACTGTAATTTAGTGAATGGCTGCATTATCTTGGGGTCTGGGCACTCTGAAGGTCACTGTCAAAGTCCATGTCCTCAAGGAGCTTAAAGCCATGTACTGGAAAGGAGAGCCTTTCCGGCTGCCATAACAAGATGGTTAGCTTGATACTAACATTCTTTGGGCATAGAGGAGCTCAAAGGAGAGCAAACCAAGGTTAACTTCTGATTGTTTTGATTTTTTTAACTTTTCTTTTAGGTTCAGGGGTCCATGTGCAGGTTTGTTACATAGTTAAACCATGGGGGTTTGTCGTGTACATTATTTCATCACCCAGGTACTAAGCATAGTACCTAATAGTTATTTTCTCTGATTAGATTGTGTAGGGGTCACAGCTCTGTCCTGAGTCTGAGAAAGGGGCCAAGAAACACAAATGAAGTGCAGCAGGGATGCTCGTCCACCTTCTGAGTTGTGGGTACATCCTGAGCAGGGGGAGAGATGCTTAGAGGGAAGGTAGATGGAGGGCATCCAGCCCCATCAGCCAAAGCCTTGTGGAGAGCAGGGCCTGTGTGACAGGGAGGGGGAAGACCTGCAGAGCCAGGACCATCTGGGTGAAGAAAGGCCCGAGTGAGCGCCTCACCTCCTAGGATGAGACTGTCCACACAGGCCTTGCTCCAGGCCTGGGCTGGGGCACAGCTCGGCCCCAGCACGCATCTCTGCTTCTCTCCCTTCCAGGCCGTGCATGTGGCTGAGCTGAGGGTTGATGAGAAAGAGACCGAAGCCACCGGAGCCCCCTATCTGGAAGAGAAGGCCTGGTCTAAGTATCAGACAGTCATGTTCAACCGGCCCTTCCTGGTCATCATCAAGGAAGACAACACCAACTTTCCGCTCTTCATGGGAAAAGTGGTGAATCCCACCCAAAAATAACTGCCTTTCCCTCCTCAGCCCCTCCCATCCATCCCTGGCCCCCTCCCTGGATGACATTAAAGAAAGCTGAGCTGACCCCTGCCTGCGTGTGACTACAGCTCCCTCCCTGTCGTCTCTGAGTCTCCCTTGGTGCACTGAGGCCATGTGTGGGCTCCAGGTCAGTGCCCTCTCCAGGCCCCCTGAACTGTGTTCATGGAGCACATGGCTGGGCAGGCACGTGCCAGGCCAGGATGGAGGGAGCTCATCCTCAGATTATGGGCCTGGACCCAGGAGCTTATGGAAGAAGAAGGGGCTACCAGAAGTGGCCACCAAGTGTGGGTCAGCCAGGGAGAGCTGGGCCCCGGCCTGAGTGCTAGGAGAACGCTGTGGCACTGTGCAACCCAGAAAAGCCACTTTCCTGAGCCTCCTGTTCTCACTGGCAGCATGAGGAGAGAATGCCTCCACCCTGTGAGTGCAAAGCAGACTGTGAGAGGCAGCTGGGGCCACTGCCACAACTTCCCCCTCTGCCAGTCCCTGACCCGGAGGTCAGGAAAGTCAGATGTGCAGCCTTTGGTAGCATCTGTGTGTCCCAGAGTGAGAGGGGCTACACCATGTGTTTATGTTTGTGTGTGCCTGTGTGTGCGTGTCTGTGTGTATGTGTGTGTCTCTGTGTTTGTATGTGTGTGCATGTCTATGTCTCCGTGAATCTAGGAATTCTGTCTCTGTGTCTGCATATGGCTGTGAATATGTCTGTGTGTGTGTGTTTCTTTGTGTGTCTCTGAGTCAATGTGAGGCTGAGAGTGTGTGTGTCTGCGTGTCTGAGTCTGCGTGTGTTAGTGTCCCTAGGTGTTTCTGTGTGTTTGCATATAGTTGTGGGCAAGGCTGTGTGTGTGATGTTTCTCTGTGTGAATGTGTGTGCAAGTCTATATGTGTCTGTGTGTCCAGGTGTTTCTATCTAGACTGAGGATGTGTCTGTGGCTGTGGATGTGTCTGTGTTTGTGTGTGTGGGTGTTTCTGTGATTGTGTGCTCTGAGTTAGTGTGTGTCTATGACCATGTGTGTTATATGAAACAGAAGCAGATGTAGTGAGAATGACAGAATCTTAACTCCCTTTATCCTCAAACAAGGACCCCTCACTGGAGTGGAGAGAACAAGTCCTTCCCAGTCACACTCAGGAGCCATTGGGTGGCACTTGGCAGCTGGTGTCACCACCCTAAGTACCCACACAAATGGACTAGTAAGCCCAAGCAACATAAATTCCAGCTCCTGATGAGAGATTCCTGGGCCAGGGTCTTGGTAGACACAAGCCTGGTGACTTCAGGCAGCTGGCGATTACTGGGCATCCACCAAGGGTCAGGCACGGTCCAGGCCCCTAGCGTGTATGGATTCCTTGGTTCCTCTCGTCACCCCTCTGAGGGCACGTCAAGGAGAAAGGAACCTGGATCTTGGAAGGCCATGGGGCTCCCTTCCACCCACACTCCCACACGGCCTCGCACAGGCTGGTTCTGCTAAACTGAGCTCACCCAGGGAAGAACTTCGAGGCCCTTGGGTGAGATCGGGCTCACTGGAGACAAACATCTTGGCAGGAGCTGGAGGTGCCCCAGGCTGATTTCCGGGACAGGGGTTCCTGGACACAGGCACTGAGCGTCCGCACACCCCCACTCTATAGGCTAGTGAGCATGAGAAGCCCTGAGAGCACGTGGGGTGTGGCCTGTGTGCAAGGCAGCGCAGCGAGCCCCTCTGCGGAACACACAGGCTCTGCCGGGTGAGGAGTTCTCCCTCAGCCTCCTCTGGAGCTGACGCTGGGGGAGAGCGCCGGGAGCCTCCCTGCCTGGATATATCTGCACTTCACACAGCAGGAAACTGAGGCACACAGAGTTTTAGCTCCAATTGGCCAGAGCCAGGCTTTGAACCCAGGCATCTGAATCTCAGTGATCCTGCGGGACAGAGTGAGTTGGGGAATGGAATTGCATCTCTCACAAAGTGCCCAGCACAGGGTGGGTCCCTGCAGAGGGTAAATGCCTCTGCCCTTGATCTCTTGGTTACAACTCCTGGCCTGAAAGGGAGAGGTGAATTCACTAAGTCCTCTGCTGGCCTGACAACCTTTACAGTTCCCTCCTGCCCTCGCCAGGCTGGGACTCCCCTGTGGTCTCCTGATCTTCACCTGTGTCTCCACCTGCAGAGGCAGGAAGGACTCAGCCTTGGGGATGCCCCCTTGCTTTCCAACAGGCCCCTCTGCTTCAGGCTCCTTCTTTCTTAAGCAACTCCATTGAAACTCCAGCCTGAGAAACCTCAGCATCCAAGACCTTGGCGGACCCCATGCCTCCCACCCTAAGGGTCTCAGAGGAGAAAGGACTGTCCTTTTAGCTCTGGCCCTTCAGAGCTTGTTACCCAGATTCCAGAAGACACTGTGCCTTCTCCTCACTGCTCTCCGGGCCCCACCCTTCTGTCCCAGGGGGACTCCACCTTTGATCTCTTGTTTAGAACGCCTGGCCTGAAAGGAGATACGTATCCATTAATTCTTCTCATGACCTGGCGATCTTTCCTGTCACCTTATTTCTCTCTCTTATCTGGGTTCATGACCCCATCCTTTACCTGCTGGAGTCCTCACCATTTCCCTGACCTGTATCTCTAACTCCAAAGCTCATCTGATATAAAAGGTAGTTATTTCCTAGGAGGAAATGTAGCAGCTAGAGCGAGCCAGCCATGACAAAAGAGAGACCTCTCAGGAGGTGGGTCAGAACACTTAATTGAGTGTTTAGAGTTTTTTAGGAGAGAAAAAAAAAGAGGACATCGGTAAGAAAAGGGTAAATTGGGGAGGCCACACAATAGGGAGAAAGCTATGGGATCTGTATTCTTGTGAGGGACTGCAATGAGCTCAGGCATTAAAGGATAAAGTCCAAGGTAAATAATGGTGTTGAGACCTCTGGGTATATCAAATATTAAAATAGAAAAAATATCAATGTTCTGGAAGAAAGCATGATGTAATTTATTTCTTAATTTTTTTAAGTGGGTAAAACTTTTCTAAAGAAGACAGAAAACACAAAAATCATAAAAGAAGGACTGATATATTTACCTTTATAAAATGCAAACTGTATGCCAAAAATGCCATTCAATTCAGTCAGAAAATAAAACAATTATACATATACATTCACCCATCATCAGCACTCTGAAATATATGAAGCAAACACTGACCCAATAGAAGGAAGAAATAGACAGTAACACAATAATAGTAGGAGAATTTAATACCCCACTTTCAATTACCAATAGAACAAGCAGACAGAAGATCATAAGAAAACAGGAAACTTGAACAACGCTATAGACTAACATACAGAATACTCTACCCCAAAACAGTGGAAAACACATTTTTCTGAAGTGCACATGGAACGTTCTGCAGGATATACCATATATTAGGCCACAAAACAGATCTTTGTATATTTTACAATATTTAAACCATACAAAGTATTTTTTCCTGATTAAAATGAAAGTAGGAATCAATAACAGAAGTAAAACTGGAAAATCCACAAATGTATGAAAATTAAACAACATACTCTTAATCAATCGTTAAAGATAGCACAAGGAAAATTAGAAACTCTTGAGACAAATGAAAACACAACACACCAAAATTTCATGTGCAAAAACGTAGTGCTAAGAGGGAAGTTTGTAGCTGAAAATATTTACATTAAAAAACAATGAGCTCAAACCAACACCCAACTATACCTTTAGGAACTAGAAAGAAAAGAGAACAAACTAAACCTAAAGCTAACAGAATGAAGGAAACTAAAGATCAGAGCAAAGATCTACAAAACGAGGAATACAAAAATAATAGAGAACATCAACAATAGAAAAATAATAGAGAAAATCAACAAAATGAAGAATTGGTTCTTTGAAAAGAACAACAACATTGACAAGTCTTTTGTTAGATTGACTAAGAGAAATGTGAAGACTAAAATAACTCAGAAATGAAAAAGTGGACATTACCAGAGCTTTTCATAGGAATAAAAAGGAATATAAGAGAATACTATGAACAACTGTTCACTGAAAATTGGATAATCTAGACAAAATACACAAGTTCCTAGAAACACATAACCTACTAAGACTGAATCACAAGAAACAGACAATCTGAACAGATGTATGACTAGTAAGGGATTGGATCCGTAATCAAAAACCTCCCAACAAAGAAAAGCTCAGGGCTGATGGTTTCACTGCCGAATTCTAACAAATATTTAAGGAAGAATTCAAACCAATCCTACACTAATTCTTGCAAAAAGTCGAAGAGGAGGGAACACTTTCTAACTCATTCTATGAGGCCAGAATTACTCTGAAACCAAAGCCAGACAAAATATTACAAGAAAAATATATATATAAACCAATGTTGCTTATGAACATTGATGAAAGAAAAAAGAAATCCTGAAAAAAAATACTAGCAAAGGGAATTTTACAACACGTTGTGAAAGTAGTCAGAATCAAAATGGAGTCACCTGTGTAAAAAAAGAATCCTGAAAAATGGATCCAAGGATGGTGTGAAAGGGAGGGTCCTCATGCACAAATGCCTGATAAAAACCATCACAAAAGAATCTGCAAAAACCACAACCTTGCACAAAGGTTGTCACAATCCTATACCAAAAACTACTTCTGTGAGTATTATCTGCCCAGTAACTGCCTGTCCAACTTTAGACTGTGACACCTTTGTTATTGATCCTCATAGCCAAGGATAATTATCTCAAAACAATAATGTAATTCTCCTTGTTTTTCCTTTAAAAATCTTTGTCTTCCTTTACTTTTCTGAATACGCACATAGCTTATGATAGCACATGTATTCCCATTGCAATGCCCATTCCTGAATAAACACCACTTTCTTTTGGAGACTCTCCCAATCTGTGTGTTATACAGGTTGGCATAACTGGAGTCAGAAGGGCAACCTCAAGCAAGATCACCTTTGGAAGGCATCTGCGATTCTTGAGATTGTGTTCAATATTCATTTGAGCCTTTTAGTCTAAGGACTCACCTTTTCTGCCCTGATGTATCTTCTCTCAAGCAAAGCCTCCATTTCTGTAGAAGTTATTTGACTTTCTTTGAGATCTGATTTCAATAAGGCCATCTTAAGTAA